TTTCTTTCTTTCCTTCCTTTCTTTCCTTCCTTTCTTTCCTTCCTTTCTTTCCTTCCTTTCTTCCTTTCTTTCCTTTCCTTTCTTCCTTTCTTTCCTTTCCTTCCTTCCTTCCTTTCCTTCCTTTCCTTCCTTTCCTTCCTTTCCTTTCTCATTTGTAGATGCAGAGAGTGAGGAGATGCGCTAATATCACTGGCCAATTCAGCCCTGCTCAGCTGGGAGTAGCAGGGGGACTGTGATGTTCAGGACCCTATTTTAGAGCCTGCTGATGGTGCTGATGAGGTGCTGGTAGAGGCAGCTGTGCTGGTTTTGTTTCTGGTTGCCTCACTGTGCCCCATTGTGTCATTGTCCATGTCCTTGTGTTGGGAAAGTGAACAGCCCTTCCTGCTCCCTGGATCTACCAATGGGAGCATCAGCCTGTGCACCTCTGAGACTGGAATGGGAGAAACCCCGTGGCTCTGGAAGAGCACTGACTTTGACTTCCCATAAAAAACTCTCCTGCTGATTTTCTTTTATTTTTCTTCAGAAATTTTCTTTTATTTTTCTTCAGCAAAGAGAAGAGTGATCCTCTGTGATAAGTTCCTTATCATTAAAAAATTCAACCAGTAGAGTCTTGTATGTATTTCACATATTTAATATAAAAATAGAAAGAGAACATACCTCTGGATTTGTATTAGCCAGTGTAAAAAAAGCAGGTTTTGGTCCTGGGATCTGTGGAAATGCTGCCTTCAAACAGCCAGTCCTGGAAATCAAAACGTATTGAATACAAAATTAAAATTGAATAACCATAATGTGCCAACACCATTGCAGCCTTGAACCAGCTCTTATCTTCCTCTTCACTCTTAGAAGTAAACTGAAAAATACACATAATCTCAGTACAGAATGAACATATATCAGGAAAACATTAAGATTTTAGAAAGTAATAGATTAATTTTTCATTGAAGATTTACTAGTAGTAAATTTCCTTCTTAGACTGAGAAAGAAATTTGTCCTGCTATTTCACAAGAAACATTGAAAAGTGGGGGTGAAAGTTTTGACAAGCTGAGAGAGCAGTATCTTCTCTGAATTACTGCATATTTCTATGCAAAGTGCATCATACAATCTTCTTTCCATTTCTGTTTCACTTATGGGGTTTATTTTACCTGTCCTACAGAGACACATCCACCTTATTTGTTTAAAAATTTCAGGTCTTACATACACAGAGAGAAAATAAAATAAATGCATAAATTAAGTTTACCTTTTGCAGAAAACAATTGTGATGATTGCCATTAAGAGTGTTGCAACTCCTACCCCAAGTAAAATCCATACTGAAGAAGATATCATTTCCTCATTTCCTGAAAGAGAAACATTCATAAATTAGTAGCAATAGTAGTAATAGCAGTCATAATATGAGGCGTAGATCATAGAATTACAGAACATTGAATAGTTTGGGTTGGAAGTGACCTTTAGAGATCCTAATTCCAGCCACTCTGTCACAGGCAGGGATGCCTTCCACTAGAGCAGATTGCTTAGAGACCCAGCCTGGCTTTGGACACTTTTAGGGACGGGGCATCCACAACCTCTCTGGGCAACATGAGCTCATCAGTGCTTCATCACCCTTATGGTGAAGAATTTCTTCGTAAAATCTAACGTAAATCTACACTCTTTCAGTTTAAAGCCATTCTCCCTTAAACTATATGTCCTTGCACAGTCCCTCTCCAGCTCTCTTGTAGCCCCTGCTGGACAAGTGCAACAGGGTGTCTCTGGAGCCTTCTCTTTCCCAGGTAGAGCAAACCAAACTTTCTCAGACTGTGAGAGGTTCTCCAGCCCTCTGATCCATCTTGTGACCCTCCTCTGGACTTCTCCAACAGGTCCATCTCCCTCCTGTGCTCAGGACCCCAGAGCTGGATGCAGCACTGAGGGTGGGGTCTCACCAGAGTGCAGGGACACAATCCCCTCCCTGGCCCTGCTGCCCAAGCTGCTTTGGATGCAGCCCAGGACACTTTTGGCTTTCTGGGCTGTGAGTGCTCATGGCTGGGTCATGTCCAGCCTCTCATCCACCAACACCCCCGAGTCCTTCTCAGCCCAGCTTCTGTCAATTCCTCCATCTCCCAGACTGAATTGGCAGCTGCCCTGAGCCAGGTGCAGCACCTTGAACTTGGTCTGGTTGAACTTCATGCTGTGTCAAACATCTGCTGTGGGGACTGACTGTGCTGAATGTCAGTCTGAAAGGTTTCACTTGGTATAAAAATTAATTCTGTCTTTTATCACTTTAGCAGAAATGTCTGATGGGAAGAATTAACATTGATCCTGTTTGTCCACCTCCTGGAGTAAGCAGGAGCTCACTACAGCTGCAAAGGTGTAATTTTTAATGTTATTTCCGGTGTTAGAATGTTAAGAAATCGATTAAGTCTCTTCCCACTCTTCTCTGTAGTGCAGTGTGAAACAAAACGTTTGCCAACCCTTTTTACATGTGTGTGTGTCCACAGGCGTGTGACAATGTGTGAGGTAGATGGCACATCCCTGGGGAAGAGTAGCCGAGGGCTTGGGTTTGTTCTTACCGAACTCAACAGGTGCGCTCCATTCCCCCCAGGCTGGGCTCACAAAGCAGGCACTGCCAGATGCTCTCATTTTCAAGATGTACTTCTTTCTTGTATTTGATCTTAGAAATATGTTACTGTTTCCCCCTTCCTAAAAAACACCCAAAAAACTGAGTTACTTTTCTTTGTTCCACGCCTTGAAAATATGCATGTGCCATTTACCAGTGAAACTTTTAAGAGGTTCTGAAAGCATTGCTTATTAAAGAAGACTGCTGTTACAGAGAAAAAATGAATCATTATTATTATTTGTATAATATATACACAAATATGTATCTAAAAAATAACCTGACACTGATGCAACTTTTTACATTTAGAAGCATTTCATCTTTTACACTATAAAAGTATAATTTGTGATTTCTTATGATATGGTTTGATTTATTGATATCTTCCCTAAGCACTCAGAGAGGTAGAAAACCTCTTTAACCATCTCATTTTAGTACTGCTAGAACTGAGTGATTTGAGAAATAAGGTGTGTGTGCACCTGCCTCAATCTCTGCATTATGAATTTTCAGAAAAAGCTGAACTTTCCAGCCAAACCTGTGAAATAAGTAGATGACTGCAATACTCAGTGTTACCAGAATTTAATGTAATACTCTTGCGCTTGGTGGCTTTTGCATAGAGGTGGTATGTGCAAACTGCACTGATTAAAAGCAGGTGCAGCATACCTGGATGACAGCCTCCATCCCAAAAGGACTTTTGTGGTCTATGTTTCTCATAAACAAAATTGAATTCCTAGGAGATACTTTATCTTTTCTCTGTTGTCAGTGATGTGTAACTTCAACTGTTCCAAATATTTGAGAAGGAGAGTGGACAATATAATATAAAATTGGAGATTTTTCAAAATACTTACAGAAAAGCAAAAAAGTTCTGCCCCTGAATGTATTATAAATTACATATGCCATGATGATTTAGCAGTTTAATGTATTCATGAAATCCATAGAAAAGGTTCCCATAAAGCATAGGGCACTGAGCACATACTGATTTAAAGGTATTTCCATACTATTTACTTTTCACAATTGACAGCGAAATGAAAATGTATTGTTGATTAATAAACAAACGGACTCACTTGTATGGATGTATATATGGATTTTCCTTTAGGATTACCCTGTAAATTGAAAGAAAAAGAAAAGCAACTCACTTTATTTCTATCATTGCTTTTTTAATGTTCCAATAATAATTAATTTTTATCTCCTGTTCCATTTTTCTGCATTCTAAAACTAGTGATTTGTCTAACATTTAGTATCTAATATCTGATTCATCTACAATGCCAACTTTACATAGTAATTAATTCTGCTATGGTAAGATATTTGTTTTCCCTGTCATTGCAGCTGAGATATAAATTTTATTTCAGATTGAAACACAAAGCAAACCAGAGCTAAATGAAAACTATATCTTTATAGATACCACGAAAAATAAACCAAAAGAAATAATCTGTGAAATAAACTTTTCTTTTACATCTAATATTTTAATATTACAATAAATGTCACTGTATGCAATTGCAAATATTATATAAATATTATTTGGTTTTCTTTTGGATTAAAACATTTGGGACTGGCATGGATTAACATATATTTTAAGTTGCCCTCCACTACATTTTTGATAGCTAGAATAAAATACACATAATCTCAATACAAATATTTGGCCAATGAACCCCTTGCTCCTCTTTCTTGGTGCAGGGGTAACCCAGAAGTATTGAGTGAAGTGATTACAGAGCACTGGGGGGAAGGTCAGGGGCAGGAAGTCCAGATGGTGTCTCCTCAGGCCTTCCAGTGAGAGGGAAAGGCTTGAGCAGAATTGCAGGCATCCAGCAGGTCAATGCCTGGCTGAATGACTGCTGTCACAGGCAGGGCTTTGTCTTCTATTGGGATCCTTTTAGAGAAAGAGGGGCCACTGGGCAGGAATGGGATACATCTCTCCAAGGAGGGTGATTGCATCCTTGCAAACAGGTTTGGGCAACACGGCCTTCTGCTGTGTATAAAGGAGTGCCTTGTATGCACAGAGCTCTGTCTTGGGATAAATAATGAACCAGTAAAAGAATTTGTGTGTAGGCATCAGAGGACAGATCAGCAGAGCTGTCAGTGATAAGGCAATAAATTTGGCAGAAGGAATTTTTATGGATAAATCTTCCAAAGATATGATTATAGCTGCATCTGATAAGTGTCACAGGAGCCAGTGCTCAATTGCTGGAATAATTGCTGTACCTTGACATAATTATCTTGGTGAAAGCTGCTAATGATGACAAAAAATAGCTAGAAAATTCAGACAAAGTATGAACTGAGCATTCTTTATAAAATTAATGTTACATATATTAAAAGTTATTTAAAAGTATGTATTACTTTACTGAAATAGATTTTATTCTGATGTCGGACTGAGTTTTCAATAATATTTCTTTGTTACAACAGCCAAGGGATTCAGAGAGGTAATGCTGTTTCACGGCAGTTAAGCTGGGCTTGCAAGAAGACTCATCTGTGAAATAGTACACCCTACCCAGACTAAGAAATTCCAAATTCCAGAATGCCTTCAATCGGCCACTAAGTGGCCAAATCTGGTTGTAGTTCAGGAAGATTTTTCCTTTGTGGTGTCTGTTCGCCACCCTGTGGAGTTCCGGTGCAGTTCTGCCGCAGTGGTTACATCTACCCCAGCAGCAAAGCACAGCAATCTCATTCTTTCCCTGGTGCTGCCAAAAAACTTGGAAAACCAAGGTCACCCCCACTAACCTGTCCTTAATCACACTGCCTTTCTGCTTTCTCTCACATTTATTTTCCTTTTGTTCATCATTATAAACCTTCAACTTTTGGACCAACAGGTGTGATGCATATATCTGGGTAAGCATTTCATACATGGAGAAATTAATTCATTTCTATTAACTCAAAATTGTTATGTGAATGTACATTTCCCTTTTCACTCTTTAAAGCCCAGCTTTAGCCTTCCACAGAGATCCAGTTTCCACTGGAAATACTCTATTCCAGGGCAACTCCAACAAGTTTTAGTGAAAGAAGTGCCTTTTCTAAGTGCTGTTACTGACAAAGCTGTGATGTGTTTGAATCTTTATTAACAATGCTTCTCCTCTGGGACTGCCCCAGACATCCAGTGTATCTCCAGCAGTGTCTTACTCAAGGAGGCAGGGATTAAAAAAAAAATAAACAATGGGCCAATATGGCAGAGCAGGATTTGGTATGGATCTGAAAAGCGCAGTCACAAAGGAATAAGGTGCTATGTATGGGGAAGGCTACATCACAGAAGAGACTTATTTACTTTTCACTCGTGTATTGGTAAATGCAAATATATTAATTAATGTTAAGTGTAAGTGAAGACATTCTTACCTTATACTTTATGTTGATTTCATATTTAAAACACATGTCCTTGCTAGAATGACTTATTTGGGGTCGTTGCCATTGAATTATGCAATAATTTTTAATTTCATCACAGGTGACTGTGATATTTGATGGAGGCATGAGCTTTTCTGAAATGATATAACCAAGAATTCAAATAATTAAAATCACTTGATCTCTTTTTTATTTGATGAAAGAGAGTGAAATTGCCAATAACACTTCTATGAACAAAGATATTTGTTTATATCTATTTTTCTTAGGACCTGTTAGAAATAGTTTAAAGACCAATGTTTTCTAAATCATGTACACAGGATCATAGAAAAAAAGAAAAGGGACTAAGACACAAAACATGATATAGAAGAATACAAAGAAACAATCCCCTCCATTTATTTTTCTAGATGAGTAAGGTAAAATACTGTCTTCTTTTTAGAAGACTTTATTACTGTGGATGAACTAGCTGCTGCTATTCCTAAAGTAAGAAATTTAAAGATCTTTTATTTTCTAAGCCTCCTCACAATGCTTCTGTGACATGAAGGTTTTGCCTTCAATCTGTTGTGAACTCTGAAGTTTATTCCCTCCTTGCAAAAGAAATAGCCATACAAAATTTAAGAAAGACGCTCAATTTTTAATAGTCTTGCCAGCTTCTTCATGTATTGCCCCTCCCTTCACAGATGTAAGCAGAAGTATGAGGACCTTTATACTTTGATCATTGCCAATTACTTGATTATTGGAACAGCAGAAAACAGTCACTCATGGCAGAAAGGGTGACAAAATGGAAGAAAGTTTAATATGAGCTAGAATACTACTTTACATCAGTCATTAGGGACAGGCCTGACCTGTTTGTGATGGGCTACTTTGTCGAAGAGCAGGTTGTTTTATCTGCCAAGGGTGACATTACAGCTCAGTTTCTTCTTCTAGAACAAAACCTTTTCTGTTCAATCTTTTAGCACAATACCAGAACCAGTGTGACATTTCCACTGAGATTTTGCTGCAGAAACAGTGACAGCACAGGATGCTTTCAAGTACAGCAGCCATGCCTAAGGTATGTTGTACATGTCTTAATTCATTTACTCCAGGGTACAGTGTCCTGTATGTTATCTTCACTGGCAAAGAAAAGCAGACGTTAGTGCTCAGATAAACTTCTAAAATGTCTCCTCTCTCTTCTATTGAGAGGTGTTTGGCCATCACTGACAGGGCAGCAAGGAAAAGTACAGTTTTTTAAGACTTGTGGACTTTGCTTGAGAAAAACTTAAAACTTATAAGGGTATATTGCTAAAGAACCTGGGACATAATGCAGCTGTGAGCTTTCCTGTTTGATTCCCCTCTTTGTCTTTTGCCTGGGGAATAGGTTTCCTTGAGGAAGCCACAGCCTCTTACTCTCAACTCTAGGTGAGACAGGGTACATAGCTCCTTCTCAGGGATAAATGCCCTACTATTTTCATACAGACATTGAAATAAAGATAAAATAAATCATTGACTTACCAATTTTATACAGGTCAATGTACTCATCATAGAACTGTATCAGGGAGTTGTTGCTAGACCCATTCACCAGGAAGTAAGCTTTTTCAGTCCCTATGCTCACGTTTTGGAAGATGCATCCCACATTTCTGAAATTTTCATCTTTAATGTAAAGTTCACATTCCATCTCCTCTTCACCTCTGCATACAGCAAAGTATTTTAGTTAAACATGAGCACTGTGAGGTGTTGAGTGAGAATTCAGACTTCCCTGTCTCAAGCAGACCTACTTACCTTGACTGCTGCCAGTAGAGAAAATACTGTGTGTCTGCTGGAGCATCCCTTCCTGCCTGCCAAGTGCAGTTCATGAGGAAGATGTTATAAATCATACAGGAGAAGTTTTCAATGGCTGAGCCCTTCATGCCTGCAAACACAGGAATATCCATGGTGAGGAAAATTCATGTGAGTCCTCCAAGCTGGAGGATCATGGCACACACTTAGCTATGTTAGACAGCTGCTGCTGTTGCTTGGTTTGAATGGAATTACTTGGTTTGAAAGGAATCACTCATTTAATTTTGTTTTCTAACACTGAAAGATATTTGCCCTGATAGATTCAATGAAGAAATTTTTAGGGGTAAATCCCCCAAAGATGTGATTATAGCTGCAATAAAACAATGTGTGTGGAAAAAGAGCTGGTGATCTCAGGAGCACTGCATAAACTTTATAGACTTACATTGGATGGCTGCTATTTTAAGGTCTAAAGATTGTTTGTCTATCTGCTATATACAAAGTCAAGGGTGAATAGGGGTCAGGCACGTGGGTAAAAAGCTGCCAGCAGAAAATATCAAAATAGGTCACAGCAATATCTATCAACTCAAGTTACTCAATGCTTAATGTGGTAAGTTTGCTGAGGGTGTTAGTTCATGTGGTTTCAAGGATGTAGATCAGATACAAGGAAGAAAAACTTTACTGTGAGGGCAGTGAAGCAATAGAACAGGTTGCCCAGAGAAGCTTGGATGCACCATCCTTGGAAGTATTCAAGACTGGGTTTGTTGGAACATTGAGCAATCAGGTGTACTGGAACTCATCCCTGAAGGGGCTGGAACTAAGTGATCTTCAGGGTCCTCTCCAACCCAAATCATTCTGTGAATATGATTTTATGACTGAGGAACAGTCTCTCACTTCTAAAAATTCAGTATCAAACCCAGTAAAATTCAAAATTGTGTCTAGGATCTTTCTTAGCATGCAGCAGGTAGTTTATTTGTAAAAAAAAAAACTTCATTTAACTGAGTTCAGTATATTCCTCTGGCAACTTTTTAGATTTTGTCTCTGACAACCAGACATCCCTCCAGTCTTGGACTTCCTAGAGACTCAGTAAATACCTCAGCAAACAAAACAGTTGGAAAGAAAAAGACGGACCTACCTTTTATTTCAAAATGTCTTTACCTCGTTTATCTTTCTATTACAATCTTCAGGTTCAGAGAAGATGGAAAGACTATCTTTTAAAAGGCTGTATAACTATAAATAGGGCTGTCTCCCCTGCTGCTTGTGTTTTGGGGAACCATCTTAGCATCGGAAGTGTTGCAAAATACATGTTCATCACTTCCCCCCTGATTCATAGCAAATTTTGTAATTGCCCAACTCAGGGTTTCTTATAATGTTAACAAAAAGTTAGCTGGTTAAATTTCCCCTTTTGTGGCACCAGAGTATGGTGGTGTTTGGGTATCCAGCAAGTGCTTAAATTTACAGGTATTTCTCTCTAGCTCTAAACAATACGGAGGAGTATAAAGCATCTCTCCATACAAAACATCTCTGGGGGATGGAAGATGGAGGTTCTCCATGGAGGGCATCAGGGTGAGGCCTGGCAGTCCCAGCCCACCCCACCTCCAGCCCAGATCAGGGCAGCCTCGGCCCTGACCACCAGGCACCTCCTGGGGGACTGGGATGGGCCATGGGCCTGAGGGTGGGCCCGGCTTGGCAGGGCCATGTCCAGGCAGGGCAGGGCTGGGGGAACCTGGAGAACGGCCCTGCTGTGGCACCACTGGGCAGGGGCTGATGGATCCGGGGGGCTGATGTGGGGTCCTGGGCTCTGGGCATGGTGGTGGAAGCTCCAGGGACTGGGCAGGGAGAACCAGGTCTATGGGGGTTCCCAGGGAAATGAGAACATAAACTGTAAATGTTCTTTAAGCAGATGGAAAAAGGGGATTTCGCATCTTGGATATAGTATCTTCAGATAAGATATATCACTGCTAGAAAGTGTGATGTGCATTCGTCCTCATTTCATTTCTCCTGATGTGAAAATAGCCAAACTACAAGTTGCCACTAAAACAGAAAAAAATTGCAGGTAGTAAGCATCCAACTACAAACAGCCATTCCAGGCCCTGCTCTTGGGCATTTATTGCCTTCTTGGGTCACAGTCATGAATTTTCTAAAGAAGAGAGTTATTATAAACAGTATAAAACATAAAAGCTCCTTTAAACCCTGAAAGGCTTTGTTTCACAGAAGGCAATGAAATTTGCTTAATATGGAGATTTAAAATCCATGTAAAGTAATTTCATTTCTTCACATTGAAATTGAAGCATCACTAGAAAATATGACTGTTTTCAAACATCAAGATATGTCAACATTTCCCCTTAAAAACATGCAGATTCTTTCTTCTTGGAGTTAAAAACTTGCATGAAAGAGAATGGTCCATGTGCTTCTCTAACACTTCCCTTCCTTGGCTACTATATATGGCCATTATATAATATATATAATATATTACAATTGTATATACAATGTATATATAATTTATTTATACACATTATATTTATAATGTATTTATACACACACACAGACCCACACCACATATATACATATATATATATATATATATATATATATATATATATATATATAAAATTGCCTTTATCAAAATGCTGAGGTCATTCCAATCCTACAGCTTCTTTATTGACATATGGAATGATTTAACCACACCAGCATTAGTTCTTATGTATCAGCTATTCACAGATGTCTAGAAGGATATAGTTATGTCCAAGAGAGGAAGTCAAAGGTAGCTCAGTGCTGTCTTCCCTGTAGACAAAGAGAGCTTCCCTTTCTAGAGATCCAGAAATGCCCAGGCTCATGAGTATTTCTTCTTTCTGGATTCTGGCTAGGGTTGAGATTGGTGACTGATGAACTAGAAGTGGGCAGTCATTTTCTGGGTTCATGATCTCATGTTGATTGTAAATATTAGTTATACTGAGTTATTGCTGAGGCTAAGCAGCACCACAAAGAGGATATCTGACATGGAGTCTTTTCCTCAACACATGTAGTGTAAAGTGAACAGGTGTAGTGAAGCAAGTCTACTCATCATGTTGGAAACTTTTTAACTGCAAAATTATTTTCTACCACAAAAAAAAAAAAAAAACCAAAAAAAACAGGAAAAAAGAACTGATGTGGCACTCTGTGGTTGTGGTCATGCATTTAATCACACCTGTTAATACCTCGATGTTAACTGAGGAGATGAACAGCTCACTTTGAGCATCCAGGACTTCAGTCATCCACAGAATCAAGAATCATGAGAGAATCAAGAGGGCCTTGCCTGGTCTTTTGGGGTTTGAGAGGTAATGATCTAAGGCAATGTTGGATCTATAAGGACCTATTCATGGATGTTCACTCTCTTCATATGCTAGTAGAGAATAAAAATGTGACAAAGTTTTTCTGAAGCATACCTTAGAGACAAAGGGTGGGACTGACAAGCATGTGTGTATAGATGGATATTCTACCGAAAAGCATATTTAGTTAAATATGCAGCTCATTTTTTTGTGAGAATCACTATGACTACCCGTGTCACATTATAGAGGTAAACAGACAAAGCAAATGAAAGCTTAGACATCAGGTCTGAGCCATGATAGCTGTTCAGAGGCAAAAGCAGTCAATTTTCAGAAGTTTTGCTGTATTTCCAGGTTAAATACATTCCATACATAACCATGTATGTATTTTTTTGAACAATGACTGTACTGTAAAGACAGAAGAAAGGACTTTTGATCACAAAAAAGTTTAAACCCTGTAGTTTATTGTGTCCTCATCTTTGGAAGAAAGCACTCAATTTTGTAGCAGTAACATACTGCATTTCATGGAGAAGAGGAGTGACAAGTACTCAAGTAATTAAATCAGACCCATGAGAAATGTCACAGAGGCTCTAGAAATGTCAAATGAGACTCTAGGAAATGAAGGAAGTCAGAATTTTTGGTTTGCCTGTTTTTCCATGCTCCCACTCTGAAGATCCCTTGAGCCTGCAGAGAAGGCAGCAGGGAAGCAGCGTGCTTTTGTGTGCTCTCAGATTATGTATCTCTGAAGCACAGTGAGGAAGAGTGGAGTTTGAGGTTTTGATTTGGCTGCTTTGTCTTTAAACTGGAATTACTGCAGCAGAACAATCCAAACAGCCCAGAGGGACAGTGATGTTTTTGCAGAAAAGGGAACTGTTCTACCCAGGGGATTTCTTTTCTTGTCTATATTTAAGCAAACTCCTTACCTAAGACTTTCAAAAATGCAAACAAATTAAACACATTTTTAAAATTCCCAAGCAAAGAGGGTGCTACTAAGGGTGCTACCAAAGTCTGTCATCTTTCATAGACCAGACAACTTGAGTGGCCTTGATATCACCTAGGACTTAGAAGCAAAGTGAGAAGAAGAGAAAGAGGAAAAAGAATAAAGGAGAGAAGGAAAACGTGGGCAGAGGCACTGGGGCTGTTTACAGACTTTCGGCTCGACAGGGAGTGAAGTCATTGCAGAAACAGTAACAAACCAAACATTTCTTAGAACTCAGAAAAACTTGAAGAATAATTTATTGCTCCAAAAAAACCAGGAATGTTCATAAGAGCTGTCTGGTGCTTTGCTGTACTGGTGTGTTGCAGCTTTTGCATATGTCACAAAAATACAAATGGTAGACAAGACCATTAATTTTTTCCTTTCATCAAGAATATTCTAGTTTTTAGCATAGAACAGAGGAATAGCCATAGGAGATCAGAATAAAGGACTTCTTCCTGTGTGAGCATCCAAGACACTTAGTTAAAAGATTCTAAAGCCTGACCATCCTTTCCCACTGATTTTGGGGTCTTTGCCCAGGGATGGGAAAATGATACCTTAGTTCCACACCTACTGCCACCTCCACTGTTTTATGGATATGGTTTATGGTTTTCTTATTGGTGTGCTGGTAGTGAACGAGTTTTCTAAATGCCTTTTCTGGCTCAGCAGCTTTCACAGTGAAAGCAGTGGGGATGTAAGGGGTGCACCAATGGCCATGATCAACTCTGTGAGAAGCAAGATGGAGAGGATCCGGTAGACTGTATTTGTTTAATTGTCCTTAGTTACAGTGAATGTTTGCTTTAGTTTTCCCATTTAATTGCAGGTGCTTTTATCTTTTGGCAATTGTAACTTAAGTAGAAGGATCCTTTTCTGGTTCTGTTTTAAAAAGACATTAAAATATTTTTTTATTGAAAGCTCCTTTAGAAACACAGAACCATAAAAAAATTTAGTTCCAAAGATGGTCTCTTGACAGTAACCTGGTCTAGTAGAATTTTATCACTGAGAAGACTTTATTTTCCATGACAGGATTTCAGCTACTTGAGATGACTTTAACCACCTTGAGACTTGATGGAATTATAGAATACCTTGAGTTGGAAATGACCCACAAAAGTAATTGACTTTGACTCTCGGCCCTGCTCAGGATTGCCCCACGAGTCAGGGGCTGTGTGCCTGAGAGTTCAAATGCTTCTTGAACTCTGCCAGGCTTATTCTGTGACCACTGCCCTGGGGAGCTGTTCCAGTGCCCAAACATCCTCTGGGTGAGGAACATTTTCCTGATACCCAGCATAAGCCTCTCCTGACACAGCTTCAGGCCATTCCCTGGGTCCTGTCACAGGTCACCAGAGAGAAGAGATCAGTGCCTGTCCTTCTGCTTTCCCTCACAAGGAAGTTGTGACTGCAATGAGGTCTCCCCTCAGTCTCCTTCAGGCTGAGCAGACCAAATGGCCTCAGCTTCTCCTTAAGGCCCTTCACCATCTTTGCAGCCCTTCTTTGGACCCTGTCTACTGGCTTCATATCTGTGTTGTGTTGTGGCACCCAAAATTGCCCCCAGCACTGGACGTGAGGCTGCTCCAGTGCAGAGCAGAGCAGAGCAGAGCAGAGCAGGACAATGCCCTCCCTTGCCTGGCTGGCCATGCTGGGCCTGATGTAGCCCAGAACAAGGTTGGCCCTCCTGGCTGCCAGGGAAGGACTGACTCATATTCAATTTCATGCAAAATGGAAAGTTAAAATATGTGATTAGCACCTAAATTGAGGGCTTTCTCTCATATCTCCTTATTAGTTGGAGAATTCAGGCTGTTATGCTTCTGTTTCATCCAGATGTTATAAAAACACATAACTTGCCTGTACCACAATTAGCAAATGACAGGCTTCTGCTGCAGAGTTCAAATGTTCAATTTCCAACATTTCCCACTCAATACATATACATTTGTACATCTGCTACCTATTAGCAATCATCTATTAAGTAATTTTTTCCTGTCTAACACAGATAAAAAGGGATGAAAAACAGGAGGTAACAAATAGACTTAGGGGAAGATTGTATCAGAAAATCTTTACAGTACTCCTTTGTATGAGCAAGTAATCTTAAGAGGTTTGATTGCGGCTTCATACAGCGAGCTTTCATACAGATGTCAAATTTCATTCCTGATCACAATCTCAGTATGGCTGTACCTTTTTTGAGACACTGAATCAATGGAGATCCTGAGTAAACTCCTTAAGTTAAATTGTTCTTAATTATTCTTTTGCATGTTGTTGAAAAACAGTAAAATAGCTTCCAAAACAATACTGATTTTTTTTTTCTGAAATACTGTAATATTCATCATAATAAAAACCAGAAATAGTCCAAACTTTACTGTTCATAGAAAATGTAATCAAATACAAGGAGGCTTTTAGAGATAAGATCTTGGGGAATTGTCTTTACAGCTGATGCTCTTCTCCTTGTTTCCAGGAGTGAGAGAATATGAAAAACCTCTTAATTTTTGCCAATAAGGTATATATGCTAGAAAAAATCAAGTCGCTCATTTCACTTGCATTCCACCACTTCTTCAATATTTGTTATTTCTTCAGTTCCTTGTTTTTTTAATAGATTCGTATATTCTGGCTATTAAAGGAAGAATATAATATTTTGTTAGCTTTTCATGCATGAGATTTGTCACAAGGTCATGATTTATGAATCTCCTGTCATTAAAATTTATTATTTATTGTCTAAAACCTGTAGCAGGTTTTACACAATAAAATTAGAAGACCAAGGTACACATGTCTGCATGATCCCTCCATATAGCTCCCAAAGAAGAGCAAAGACTTTTCAACTAAAAAGCTGGAAAAATCATCTTTTAAAATATAGAAAAGTTAACATGATAAAGGAAGAGAAAATAAAAGGATTTATAAAGGCTCAGCAGTAATTGAGCGTATCACTGCAGACAAATTTTGTCTTCCAGACCTGCCTGCAACCAACCTAAAGACTTTGCAAATTGCAGAAAACTGCAACATGCTCTCTAGAAGGGCAGTTCCTGCAGTGTTTGCCTGTTTGTTGCTTCTCACAAGCCAATTCCAGCGTTCCACATAAGTTAGCACCTCTCAACATTCTGCTCTACTTTCTTGCTTGCCATACCCTAGAAACTTTTACCTCCTTCAGCATCATTGCCAAGTACTAGCATGGCAAAACTAATGAAGATTTCTTTGTCCCTTCTCTCCCTGCTTGCTGCTGCAGTATTATTGTGCTGAGAAACTTATGCTCAGCATTGTTTTAGTGATAGCACATGGCTTATAGGGACAGCAGGGTGAAACTGCATTTTCCCCAATGCTCCAGGTAGACAGATGACAATTATTTTGTAATGGAAAAAGTAACACAGACAAGTTATCTGTGTGTGGACAATCTTTGTCCATATCCCAAGAGCAAGAAGGAGAAAGAAAATTGGTTCTTGCTCATGGACATCTTTCTGACAGTTAGGTCATACCCTTGACACTAAATTTTTGAATTTCAGGCAAATGGAAAGAAAGCATACCTGCAAGTCCATTGGAGAGGGCTCACGGAATGGGTCTCTTGGCTGTGGTACTGTAGCAGATGTTTTTTTGAAATAAGCCCTTCTGCAGTGACAAAAAGGTTTGGTAAAGAAAAGACTTAGTTTGGAAACACATGAACACAGACTATATAATCATGCTCCTGAGGTACTATTTTATTTCTCTAAGACATAAATAGTATTCTTCTAATTCAAAAGTAGCTAAAAAATACATAGGCTGAATACAATATTATATTTTTTTTTTTCAGAATTTGGATGACAATAACTTATTTTCTGACTTACTAAGGCATCATAGGAAGATGTGTTTTAAGTATGTGAAAAGGAAATGTTGTCAAAACATGGAAAAAATTTCATGTACCACCCCTCAACATTGCAGGGTCTGATCGTAGGAAAGAGGTACTGATAAAAGGCCTTGGCCTAATATTGGAAAGCATTGTGTTATATTCACCAAGTGGATAAGAAAGTTGGGAATCAGAAGTATAGAGCATACTTGAGGAACATCCAGCAGATGATTCCTAGTATAGCTCAGTGTTGATTTTCTCCCTGCCTTGTCTCCTTTAAAAAGAAGCCAGAAATTTTCTGTTGGAGGAAGTATTATTTTAACTGTAGAATAAAATTTTTGCACAAGAAATAAGACTTACACTGTCATGCAAAGGAGAAATGTGAGACCTACTGCCAGGCTTGGTATCAGAAACAGCATATATGATGAAGTAGATGTAAATTGTTGTGTTCCTGAAAATCAAGCAATCATCAAAGTGTTGGTTAGCATCACAGGGCATGATTGACTGCATGGCTATGTGCAATCTGCTTTGCATCAGGGTGTCAAACACTCTATGAAGGGATGACTTCTTTAGCTCAGACCTCATTGCCCTGTAGCATGCAAAGGAATAGAGTAGCTGAACAGTACATGGGCTGTCCACAGGAACTAGAAACCTGAGGAACTGAGTCCTACAGAGTATTTAAATATCCAAGGTGGCAGAGAGCAACAGCAGGAAAAAGGAGCTTGTAAAGTCAGGAGCAGAGGTGGAAGAAGTAAAACAGCTGGTAACAGACTTCAAAAAGGTCTTCTTCTTTCACTATCCCTGTGCAAGAAGCACTGCCTCCCAAGAATTATTAGAGAACCCCCCAAAAGTAAGAAACATGGCAATTCTTCAACTCTCTTTGTCCTAGCAAATTAATGTGCAATTATCAATGTGTTTCCATCTGTAAGCATGAAGTAAAAATAAGGTAGACAGGTAACAACTGAACAAGGTCAAGGAAAGGATTTTTATTCTTACCAAACTCCACAGGTGTACTCCACTCTCCCCAGTTTGAGCTTACTCTACAAAAGCCTGCATCTGTTGCTCTGATCTTGACGGTATACCTTTTTCCTGAGCTGAAGCTTTCATATAGGTAGGAGTCATTTTCAGTGATTTCTGTCTAAATGCAAAATAAGTAGAATGAGATTTTTTTGCATTATTTTTCTATAATTACAATAAAAATTTATATTTTACATTTATATAATGTTTCTGTGAACAGACTAGATTGAAATAATTAGTAGAAAATATCACTTAGTAAGTTAGATTGTTTCATCTTAGCTCCCCTTGTTTGAATACTTTTGTTATTGGGTAATATGAAGATGAAATTTGCTGTATGTTTCCTTGGCTCCTTAGACTCTGCTAAGCAATGGGACTTTAGGAATAAAAATTCTTTAACGATCTGGCAGGGGTATTTTCAAAATTGAGGTAGAGTTCGATAGCCAGATTATATTTTTTGTCTGCCATCTTTATATTGGCCTAATCTTTGAGGTAATATTTTCTTGCCTTTTACATCTCAATTCTTTCCAGAAAGTATTATAAAAAAAAATCCCCACATTTTTTGTGTTACACAGAATCAAGATCCATATTTTTACATTTATATGAATCTGTTAGGAAGTAAAAAAGAATGTAAAATGGAAGATTTTTGTGGAGTACTATCAAAGTTCACATGTGCAGGTGTTTTCACATCAACTTTTATAAACAATAGTTTAAAACTTCAGATTTAGAAAACTTATCAAAAATAAGAATATGCAGTACTTTGAAACAGATAGTGTGAAACCAAACCAATTTGTTTGGAGGATGCTCTGATACAGAAGAAATTTCAATATTTTAGATTAATACAGACTTACTGTGTTAGATGCAGTTTTGGGGTTTTTCTCAGCATCAGCCTAGCAACAAGGGAAAAGTTTAATTTTTAAGATTATTCTTTTGTTACTATATAATAAAGGGTCTTTCATGGATGTTTGATTTTCAGAAAGAAAAATTGTATGTAATATTTTAAGTGCCTTCTTTTAAAGAATGCGTTTAAACTGTGAAATTTAGGCTGTTCTTCCACTAAGTGGTTTTTCCTCTCCATTGATGTCCTGAAATGTTGCACCATTTCAATATGATTATAGAATTGAGCATCAAAGCACTAAACAAAAGAAAAAAAGGCTCAGGTTGACAAAATGTTTACATTTTAATTGTTAAAACAAAGTATCTAAATTTTACAAACCAACTTAGACAATGTTTTTTCCATTGGTTTTTTTGCCCTTGTATCTTTTGCATTCTTAAACATTTAATTTAGCTAAGTTATGTTTCCTTTCTTTTTTTTTTTTTTTAATTTTTCACTGTTGGAACACAATAAGCTCACAAATATTTTGAACTTTATTTTTGAAGTATACAATATTACTTTCCATATTCATTCAAGCTTTCAAAAGGAGGGGATGAGAACGGGGTTGTATGGTGTTAGGTGTAGAAATAGAGAGAAAGAAAATACTGTTAAATGTCACAATTATTCTTACCTTGTTTTCTATGACAATTTCATATTTGAAACAACTCATGTTTTCCACATGACTTGTGCGAGGTGGCTGCCACCAAATACTACATCTACGAGAAGCTTCTGTACAGTTCACTGTGACATTTAGTGGAGGGGTGAGTTTTTCTACAATAATATAACCAGAAATACTATTGATTAGTAATAGCTGTCTTCACTCTCTCATTTTAAAAATATAGGTAGATGTTCAAGCAATTGATCTAAAAAGATGCAACTTTAGCAGAATTTCTATATTGTTCCCATATTCTGAAGCAGGACTCCTGATTTAACATTTCAATTGAGAAGCCTGGAGCAAGAGCTGCAACAGTAAGGAAAACTAAAAACACAAGCCATTTATTACATTTTACTGTATTCAGCATATGATTTCTGAAGGTTTAGTTTTATTTCTTGGGTTTAAGGGGTTTTTTTTAAATACTATATTCAAATTAAACAGATTATATTTTATTAACATTCTTCCATTAAAAATAGGAGTTTGTCTCACAGCATTAAGGTAACTGTTTCTTTTCACTTTGTGGATGAACAGCATTGCTATTCATAAAAAGCAATAATAAGAGTGTTGGAGAGTTTTGTGCAGACGCGGCTTGAAGGAAAAAGGGCCATGATCATATACAGCTGGTCAAGCAGTAAAAAGCAGCTGTAAGCAGTAAGTTCTCAGCCTTCTGATTGCAAGAAAAACAAAAACACTGCGTCCTTGATCAAATGATGAGAAAAACATGGTGAAAAACATGGAGTCCTTGAATCTAGTCAATAACAGTCAACAGCAGGATATGAAAAACAAGTATTAGCCTCAATAAGAAAGCCACAGCTATTAGCAACTAAGGAAGGGTTGGCATGAAATCTGTAACCAATGATGAGCTTGGTTTTTGCAATATGTATGAGCTTAATTAACACTACTATAAAAGTATGTAAGCTGGATCAATAAATCTGAGACCGATGATCATCAATAGGATGTGCAAGTCTCCCTTCACTTTCCTCATAAGAGATAATAAAAGATAATAAGACCAACATCTAGATAGTCCCCTTCAGGGATCTTTAGCTAATTAATTCTAAAAGATGACACCTTTCTCTCAGAATAAATATTTGATAGAAATGTTCAAAATTTTCTGACCTATGATTCCAGATTGCTTCTGTATTCGTTAGTTTTTGTCCATTCTTATACTTTAGGGCTGAGAAAAAATGAAAAAACCCAAAAGTATTATGGGGAGAAATATTTTTAAATGTATGCTTTTTCCCAGAGATGAATTCTTCATTCTTTTAAGATATAACTGGAAATTAAATTTAAAAAAATGCTTACCAATTTTGTATAGCTTTATATACTCCTCATATGACTGAATGCTTTGTCCGCTTCTGGACCCATTTACCAGGAAATAAGGATTGTTATTTTTTATTGTCACGTTTTGGAATCGACATCCCGTGTGCCTTCCATGGGTATCTTTGATGTAATTTTGGCATTCTGTGACATTTTTATTCCTTTACATGAAATATTGAATCAATAAAACATTGACAATGTCACATGTCCAACCACAAATCAAAATTCCCAATATTCAAGCAGACCTACTTACTTCAAGGACCCCCAGTACAGGAAATATTGGGTGTCTTCTGTAGCAGTCCTGCCCACATGCCATGTGCAATTCATGAAGGAAACATTAAAAATGACGCAGGCAAAGTTTGAAATGGCTGTTCCATTCATGCCTGCAAACACAGAAAGAATACCCCATGTCCACTCTGCAGAAAGACTTAATAACTCCTCAAATAACACAGACAGATCTTTGAATGCTCATTTAGTAATTTTTTTGCTACCTGCTCGGCAAATCTGACTGTACACAGTTTTGGTCTTGTAGTTTTGTCCTTACTTGAAGATGGCAATGATTTTATTTCTGTTGAGCCATGATTATCATGATTATCTGTCATGATTCCAGAAGCCATAGATGTGACTGGAATTTAACTGAGTCTTTAATCAACTCAAACATAGGGATTTAGTGTAAGTTAATAACAGAGACAGTCACCATGGTGTCCTTTGTTTAGACCCCCAGTTAACTGAGGCCCAGTCTACAATGGCATGCAAATTCTACAACCATGAGCAGAGTGGCAAAATTCTCTCTGCTGCGCTTGTATTAAGCACTCTGACCCTTGGTTACAAAGCACTAAAAATTTAAATAAGATGTCCACCACTTTCTTCTGCGTGACAGCAGGCTGGTTACAATCTAACCCTGAGACTGTTTCCTGAAGATAATCCCTGCAGAAGTGTTGCAATTTCAAAGAGAGAATGATGTATTTTTCAATTAGGAATTGAAACTAGCTGTTAATCTCTTCCAGTACCTTGGATTCAAGGATAGGGGGAATCTTATTAGCACTGAACGTGACAGAAACAGGCCTGAATATCTGTATGATTAGTGTAAAATCAAGACAAAGCTGAAGCAGAAGTTTACACCTTGCTTAAGTTAACTTACAATCTGAATTATTTCTTTGTGTGTTTCTCCCCCACCAAAAGGTGAGATCTCCCACAGGAAATGATGAACATTCAGTACCTCAACAGCTATCATTGTGAATTGAAGGACTGGGCCCCAGCTTTCCAAGACTAACCCAACCACTGTTAATTGAGTTCAAGAGCCACACACACAACGTTTGCATTTACCTCTCTAGTTAGCCCTAAAACTCCACATCTGATTGTTACATCTTTGGAAATAAAGAGAAATTTTTAAAGTTGTAAAAGTAGCACTGGATTTCTAGAAATATTTCTCTCTTCCAAGAGAAAGCTTGAAACTTTTTCAAGAGCTTGGTTCAGCAGCATTTTTCTTTCAATGGCAGTGTTGGCCTAAGCATGTCCTTTCGCATCCTTCACTGATCCTGCCTGATTCCATCCTGCCCCCCTGGCTGTGCTAATGCCACTTCTTGTGGGGCCCTGTAGTGAGCAGGTTTGAACAACTGATCATCATTACAACTAATGCTCCTCTCAGCAGTTCTTTTCTTTTTGGTTGTTTTTTTATCCTCTATCAGAAATAGTGGAACAAGGTTGTCTGAGATGAAAGTGTGGGCTAGCAACTAAGAGAAAAGCTGCCTAAGCTATTTCCATGTCTGTAGTAAATACTGACCCATACTTGGTCACTAGAGGTATCAAAGCTCTCAGCAGGGAGTTGTTTACATCCAATTTATGTGTAAGTTTATATATATTTAACAAACTACTTTTGGGAGTTCAATCATTACCGGACTTGATGAGGTGATGGAGAACTTGGATCAGTTCTCTGCTACAGATTCAGTTTATGACCCTGGGCCAACCAAGTCTATGCACTTCATTCACTCATTTAAAAAAATAATAGAGAAATTTTCTTCCCATGAAGAAATTACTGGGTAAATGCAGCAGTCTGAAGTGATCTTCAGGTGCTGTGATCACAGGTGCTGTGCAAGGGTCTTAGAGAGATGGGCTTCCTCAAGCCTTTAGCAATGCTGTAAATCTAAAGAAAAAAGGGTTATTCTGATTTTAAATCAGTTCACAACCTGATTCTTGTGAGGGCAAACACGCAGTTGAAGTGCTCAATGACAAAGGAAATATTCAGCCATATGCTGTGAATAAATATGAGTCTCTCCATACCCATTACTGACTGGACATTTTTTCCAAGGTTTTAAGGCTTTTTTTTATTTAATTTTTTATTTATTCATAGTTCTGTGGTTATGCCAAAGAGAATCTAGCAAAGTATGTAAACACCACTACCCTTTCTGTAAGGTTTATTTTTGAGCCTACTCTATTCATCCAACACTGTCAGCTATTACCTTTTTGTTTTTAGCAACATCTGGAATAGAGCTAAATATTCATGAGAATTTTTACCCACATTGTTTCAGAGACACTGATATTTTTCTGCCTCCAGTTTATACTGAGGACTAGCTAAATTTTTCTAGTGTCTTTTTGCTTAACCACACCTGTTTGAAATGCCCCATATTTGTCACTTGCATATAGTTATTTCCTTAATAAATGGTAGGACCATATTCTTATTAGTCTTTTCTGTGAACACTAATGCAAAAACCATTTTAGTTTCTCTATATTGTACTTATCCTTCTGAACTTCCTCCTGTATTATCTGATGATGATAGCAAAATACAGCTGCAAGTATGTTAATGTCCTCTGAGGCATACTTTATTTCAGACACAAATAACTCGTTTTCACATATTTTACTATCTTTAGATATATTTTAAATGTTTGAAATTCTTTTCATGAAAGAGGTAAGATACTTAAATGTGACAAATATGATTGCATGCAAATGCATAACAATCCACTGTTTCAAATACCTAGAGTGTTTTCGTTTATTTGTTTGTTTATGTCTATTTTGTCAACTTAGATTATCTCCATCTCTTGGGCAGACATCAGAAAAAATGTAGGCACCTTAGCTTCAGAAAAATATCAGAGAGAAGAAAATTTGGCTCTACAACCATTTGTAGTTACCAACATTACTAGCAGGGAAGGACAGGATCTCACCTTTGAGTCCTGAGCCCAAGAGAATTTTTACTTTAATTCAGTCATTCTTCAATTAAAAATGCATAAACTGTTGAATCTTAGACATAATTGACCAGATACTTTATAAAAGATGTTAAATAACAAACTTGATACTGAAAATAAAAAATAATAAAAAATTTTTTAAAGTAATTAAATTACTTTACCCTTTCAATTTAACTCTGAAGATGCTGTTAGGTGTGAGATGGAGTTTGTCTTTCCTAAACCTACCAAAAAGCTGTATAGATGCTCACAGGGGAACCAGTAATTCTATACTGGCTTAACACTGCCTAGAAAAAAAAAAAACCAAAACCTTAAAACAGCTACTTTAGACCAGTTTATTCAATCTAGTTTGGGATAAGATGAATGAAGGCTTCACCATATTTACCTATTGCAATGCACCAAAAATATAGCTCACAGGAATCTCTCTAATTCTAATTTACCTTTGTCAGCTAAATCCAAGAGGATTCATTCCTTTCCTTTCTTACATCATCTGGAATTCACATGTAATTACTAAACAAAAAACTGCCACTATTATTTTTCTCAACTGAAAATTTATTATTAAAATGTCTTTTTCTCCTCATTCTTATATCTGTGCAAGTATCAGAGCTGCTTATCTTTAGAAAAACAGTTGCAGTAGAGGAGTACTATTTTCCCCAGAGAAATGTTTCAAACTTCCTTCCACATCTCAAATAGGTCCTGTGCAGATAATTGATGAAAATCTTTAGGACAAAGTATTTCTATGTGAAGTCCTTTCCTTTCTGTACTGTAGTTTATAAAGTTTCTATGAAAATTGGCTACTGGTAGACTGTGCTACAGCACAAGTTGTTTCTCAGAGAAGCCTGAACCCTAACACCCTTCCACAGGGGATAGTCATGTCAGGGATTCAAAAGCTGAAATGCTGTTGCAGTGTCTACTCCCATCTAGATTGATTGGAAAGATGATTAGATGAGAATAAAAACTGTCCGGTAACCTGCTGATTATGAGTGATGCAAAGCCATATATTTTATCATATTTTGATCCCACTAGGATTTTTATAGCCAAAGAGAAGGAAGGTTTGTAACTTAAAAGAAAACCCCAAAGCTTATACCTTGCTTTAATATGACTATATTTTGTTAAGTGAAAATCTGTGTTGAGTATAGTACATTAAACTAGACCTCTGAGGTTCATTTCCCAGCTTTGCTCCTAAAAGATTTTGAAAGACATTACTGCCAGTTGGAAAATATGAAATGGAACTACTGCTTCCATGTTGGATGTGATATGAGGGTAAGATTATGCCTGCATTCCTGCAGCTTTTTCAGGAAATTGTGTATGGGAAATCTAAAGTATTAAAATCATGAAAGAGAAAAGACACTTCCATTCTTCTGGTGCCTAAATGCAGTATTTCTAAAAGAGTTCACTCTGTTTAGTAATTTTACTCTATGGATGAAAAGATCTAAAATCCAAACATTTCCAATTTGACTGTGTTTTCAAGAGACAGTAAAACAGGCTCTCCTCACAGTAACTCAGGCTCTCTCTCACAGTAATTCAGATTTAACTTAACAAACAAAATACTGCTATGTGGATTGCTGGAAACAGCAAATTTTAAGTTATAATCATACAAATATTTTCAGATTGTAGAAAAAATATGCCATCAAAATATTGGCTAAGACATTCATCAGAGGAAAGCAGGCATTTGCTATCAGGTAGTTTCTATCCAACCCTCACAGTTATTTAACATTAAAACTAGCAGAAATGACAAAACTCAGTATTTCTTTCCTAGCTTCTTTGGAGTACAATAAAGGAGAAACAGAAAAGAAAATAGAAGAGAAAACCAGACAATACTAAACTTACCTTGTCCTTGAAAACCTGTTTCCTGTGGTGCTTACAGTAATAGAGAAGAAGAAGGATAGAAACTATGACTTTGCCTTGGTGTATTTCTGCATGTTTTCACAGTGTGATCTCATTGCCTCATTTCCCTTATCCTCACTTCCGTTAAACCATGGGGAGCAGCAGGGTCCCTCCCGGCCTTGGGACAAAGGTCAGCATAGAGGGACACTCTCTTCATTACTTGATTCACATAATTTCCAGTAATTTGTCACACGTTTTTCATATAAATGTTTGCACACCGCACCACCTGAAAGACAGATGAACATGGGTCTTCCTTCTGGCTCGGGTGTAGGTCAGCTATGATTGCTTCAAGCCATGCCTCTGTTTTCTGCTTCTTGCCCAGGGATGCCGCCTGGTGCAGGAGTATCAGCCCTCTGCTCAGGTCTGCAGAAGAGCTGCTCCCAGCTTTGCACTAGCCAGCCTCATCCCCTATAGGTGGGTAACAAACCATGTCACTGGTCTTGACAGCCTTCCTGCTTTGCATCCACATTTTTCTGGCTTGGGTGAATTCAATGCGCAGATCAAGAAAAGTTTCTGTGTGTGTGAAATGTCCTGAGTGTAATAAGCAACAGTATGTCACTTGTCTGTGCTGGTGTCCTGGAAATGAGAAGCATAGAACCTGCCTCTTCATGTACCCCATAGTACAGTCTGAGTACAGAGCCCCCTGTCTTCATCTTTAATATTTTTTACAGAAAAATGAAGTTATTAAAGTAGAAAACAACATTTAAATCTCGTTATTTATAATGTTCACTGAGTGCACTGCTTTTTAGTGTTATATCTCACTGCAAGACTGGTAAATTCCATCAAATCTGTCCTCCTTCTGTTTGTCTGTGTGTTGTACATCTTCACTCCCATCAGTCTTTTTTCTTGTTGTTCTTCTGGGCAGAGAAGGAATAGGTAGGGGATGGTTATTGAGATATTTCCTCTTCTTTACATCTCAATTCCTCAATTTTATTCACAGAGTAAACAGCAAGACACTGTCATGTACCCTGCTATGACATTTCATTTCAGGACCTGCAGAAGTAAGGACTTCTGATTCCTGCTCTGTGGAGGAATTGAAAGAAGCCTGCTGGAGCACTGTAATAATGCCGAGACTTTTGTAACTACTCAGTTTCTCTAATTCTTGAAACTGGACCCTCTTCTGTTTTTAGAACAGAATTATTCTTGGAACTCTGAGTCCTAGTACTAGAGAAGTTGGGTGATGGTGTAACTGCTACACTGAATTAGGTTACTGGAAGCTGAGCTAGAATGAAAGTCTTAATTCATTTTCAAGTAATTTTTCTTAATAAATTCTTTCATACATATTGGAAAAGTTGGAATCTTCAATATTTATACAGAGCAAACAACATTCTATCAGTTTCAGTGTTGGCAATTTAATTAATTGTATGGAATGTAAGACGTCACGACTATACCCAAGATCACCTCTGCAGAGGATTTGGAGTACTACACGGGCATCCCAGTCTTGTTTCATAGCAATGTTTGACCTAGACATGGATAACTTCACCTAGCCAGGCAACCTGATGATGAAGTTCTCCTTAGCTGCCATGCAGTCTGAAGGATGATTTGATTTGGTCAATGAAAGGGAGGGGAGTTGCACGTCAGGGTAATCTAAACACCTCCTTTTCAAGGCCAGCACATTTTACCACAGACTTTTTGGGTCAATCTGTATTCTTTTAAAAACCAGAATAACTGTACAACTTTTATATTAATAGCTTTGTAGCCTTTAATTTAAAACATAAGAATTCCACAATTTGCATTTAGTCTTTTTCATTGCTAATGTCAAGAGTGAATATTGCAGTTATAGTAATCAAGAGGTTAATAATCAAAATAGTATATTCGCTTAATTTCTGATTTCTTTGCTCTGGTTTAATGTATTTTAAACCAGTCACCTTTTATGTGAGGTATCTAGAAACAGGAAGGAAAGTGCAAGCAGAAGTTTGCTAGATATGAATTTGTCTATAAAAGGACCAAAGAGCTCCAAACACAGCACCTCTCCGGACAGAGCTATCCAGCAGATACACTTGGCAGCTCTGTTTGGATATTACAATATCTGAAAGCTGAATTAAAGCTCAGGTCCTCACTGTGTGGGGATGATGCATCCAGACATTTGTTTTAGTTTACAAGTATTAGTTTTCCTCCCTGTTTCCTTTACTTTCTTGATTTAGCATGTTTGTACCTGATCCTAGGCTACCATCATGTGGCCACTTTGAGAATTTTCCCAAGTAACAGAAACAAAAGCTGTTACTCACTGAGCCTGGAAAACAGCAAGGCACTGCCTGCACACAAGATGAAGGCCACTTGTATATTTCTGAGGGCATAATTTTCCTTCTTGATGGCACTCAGTCATCCTTTATTTGGACATTCTGTTCTTTGTTTTGTGTCTGTTTTACTCTGCTTTTATTCTCCCCCTCCCCCCCAACCCGTAAATACTGAAAAAACACACTCTAATTTCAGAAGGAAAATTTTTCTGTAAGTAGCAGCCTTGGGTCAAACCATGCCTTAAACTCTAAATCACATTTCTACTCACACATTTCATAAACTCAGTTTCAGATCATCCCCATGTAAATCCCTTCTGTAAGTTCTCTGATATGGTCCCCCTCAACAGCCTTGCCTCTAGGTTGGAGGGACATCAGTTTGACACATGGATGGTTAGATGGCTGGATTGGCTCATCCGAAGAGTTAGAGTCAGTGCTGCAACGCCCAAGTGGAAATCAGTAACAAGTGCTGTCCCAAAAAGGTGCATGCTTGGTTGAGCACTATTTTACCTCTTCAGCAGTGCCACAGCCAGTGGGATCAAGAGCACCCTTCAGTGAGTTTGTGGATGGCACCATGCTGAGTGGTGCAGTTGTTGCATTAGAGGAAAGAGATGTTGTCCAGAGGGAGACTTGAGGCTTGACAGTCTTGAGGAGTGGGCTCATGTAAATTTCATGGAATTAATAATGTCCTGCTCCTGAGTTGGGGAAATCCCCTGTGTTGGGGCAATCCCCAGAACAGTTTGCTTAGAGAAGCTGTGGATGCTCCTTCATTGGAAGTGTTCAAGATCAGGTTGGGGGCAGGGTTGGACTGGACAGTGTTTGAATATCTCTTCTAATTGAAACCATTCTTAGATTTTGGTATTTTATAAAATATGATTGCAGTAAACACTCTCCAAAGCATCTGAGTTAGTATTTCAGACTGAGACTCAGATATGGAAACATCTGTTTCTATATATTTGCAGCCATCAGGGTAGGAACAGAGATGTCCAGGTCACCCAAGGCTATACTGTGAAGGAAAAGTTTGCACCAAGTAAAGCGTGCACCAAGTAAATCTACTTATAGTAGATTCATTTTTATTCATGCAATGATAGAAATAGTAATTTTAAAGAAACAACATGGCTAATATATTCATTGCAGAACCAAACTGGTTTATTTGTCAGAGCACTTTATCAGGCAATAATCCACATTGGAGTTGGAGTCTACCACAGTTTGAAACCCAAATCCAGTCTCCAGCCAAAGTGGATATTTATTGTGGTGTTAACATTTCACCTTAGGCTTTTTCTTGATGTACAACAAATTGTCTAAAAAGTGGAATATTGGAAATAGTTTTGATAAGGACAGTGGGGCAGAACGGCATTTTCCTCACTTGATAAGGACAGTAGAAGAGAATAACTGTTGTTACCTTGTTGCTGTATTTCATATTTCTAAAGTCCCATACCTTCTCAGCGATATTTCTTGGTGGCAGTTCTTCACAGCATCTGCTTGTTGTTGCTTCTTGGCAAGAACTCCTTCCAGGCTCCCCCTGACAGGCCAAGCCCAGCCCCTTTTATCCCAGTTATCTTCATTAGCTACAGCTGCAGCCCAATTAAGGACATCACAGCTGCAGCCCATCAAAAACAACCGGTGCTTATCAGGGCAAGGCCTATATACAGATATTCAAATACAATACAGATATTTTACTAGGACTCCTACTATAAATAACATCTTACTCTTATCAAGGACAGTAGAACAGAAAAACAAGCCTTGAAGAAATAGATAAAGGGTATAACTTAGGCAGACAGAAATCATGCAAAATGCAAGGAGGATGCCAGCTCAGCTCTGCAAGGCTGACAAAGCAGAAGTTATGCAAGGCAATGATATTGGGCTTACTCAAACGTGGGGACTGAGGAGCAGCTACCTACAAAGGACACCAGGCATTGAAGACAGAGCCCAAAGAACAACATTAGGGGTGTGATTATATAAAATAAAATCAAGGAGGTGGGGATATCTAATGAATACGGGATCAGTGTGAATGGTACAATCTCTGTTCACCTGATGCTCAGCACACTTGATTAGAGGAAATCTCCTCGGGGTGACCAGCATGCTGCAATAAAGGATGGCTGCTTTCTAATACTCAAAACTGTGCTAGAAGGTTTCTATCCAGCCAATTTTTGTATCAGATTAAATAAAGGTTTTTAGCTACAGATATTGTTAGTACCTAGTCCTAGATTCTATTTTAGTAATTTATTTTATTTTAGTATTTAGTATTTTTTTTCCAGAATTAAAGCTCCATACAGTGGATGTTAAACAAGACTTCAAAGATGGGATTAATTTCTAAAGTGTAGATTAAAACAGCATATTGTATTCACTTATAATTTAGTTACAAGATTCCATGCTAATTTTAAACTCTGTGAACAGAAATGGATTCTTTCTGGGTGAAAATGAACAGGGTGAGGAGGGTGCTGTTTTATAAGAGTGCATTTATTTTAATTGAAAATAATAATAGCTGAATTTGTGTAGATAAAAATATCCTAGATTGAAAATTATTTATTACAGAATTCCTTTGCCTTTCAAGTTACAGTGACATTTACCCGATTGTTCCTAGAAAGATGATATGCATCAGTCTGAAACTGTGGTTCTACAGCACATAAGTTCTTGCATTTTTTTCCCACACAGTATTGTACTCTCTCTCAGAGAGAATTGTGCTAAAGTCACTTCCAGTCTAGGCTACTCTGAGTTTTGTGTGAGAAAATATTAAGGAAGTAAATAAATTATGTGCTTCCTCTGCCTTTCTGTATTTCGTAGAAGACTTGGG